GATAGAGAGAAAGAAAAAGAACAAAAGAGAGAGGTTTTTCCCGCTCATTAAGTGCGGGTGCTGGTTGTGCTGCTGCTGCTGGCTGTTGGGTTATGCGGGGTGTGACCTGGCCGGAAGCAAATCGGGGGAAGTGAGCAAGGAAGGCTGCTCCTCGCTCGGGTAATTTGTCTTCATTTCCCCGCCACGTCTTATCATCCTTCCGGCTCTTCTTCCTCTTCCTCTTCCTCGGCTTCTTCTTCTTCTTCTCGTCCTCCTCCACACCGTCATATATATACGTATATATATATATATATATATATATATATATATGCACAGTACAGTACAGATCGGCAGTGATGGTGGTGGGGGGTTGGATCATGACTCTCATCGTTATCGCACGTATACCTGCCGCAAACAATAAAGAAAATACTGTTGTATAGAGCCTCTTCATGTAAAGCCACAGCGCATTCCTGACCGACCGTCATCAAATGCTCAAGGAGAAAACAGCAGACAGACCATGTACAGTATAGTAAAATAATAAGAAGCATGCTTGAGGCTATTGAGCCCTTATCATTTGCAATTCTACATGAAATCATGTGCCTGAAGTATCAGTTATATATATATATATATATGTATACAGTAGATGCATATACGAGCACAGATACATCTGATGGTCATTTCCCTCCCCGCATGCAGTCCTGCATATATGTATGGTTTACTGAGTGAGCGATGCTGAGCTATATATGGAGTGCATACCTATGCTGTGGTTGCTCGCACATATCACAGAAAAAGTGACATACTGTACTGTACTCTATACACAGTGCAGTGCAGTATATACATGCATAAATAAACAAGACAGTCAGTACAGTACAGTACACTGCTGTGGAAGCATTCCTTTGTTTCGGCTGCTCATCCCTATTGCAGTTTACTTATTACTGAACAGTACAGTACTGTACATACAATCATTTTCAGCACAAGTTCGGGATGAGAGCTATATATACATATATATATATATATATATATATACACACATACAGTCGTATATGAGAGCCCTCGACGATGAGGAATTCCCGCCGCGCAAATCCCAAAACCGGGAGAATAAGTGTGCGGGATGAGGCCTCTGATTGCTGCTCGCTCGCATTCCACGTCCAATAATAAACAACAACAGCTAATGCTTTCTGTCTCTCTCCCCCCATCATTCCCGCTTAATATGTGCTCGTCAGGGAAGGTCAATCCGATTATATATAGGCCGACCGTCGGCAGATCCATAAGCATCTCCATCATGACCCCATCACCCTCGACAACACCGCGTATATACCAGCACGTTACTCTACTGGATGGGTACACACAACAATAATATACTGTACTGTACATTATATCATGCTGCTGCTGGCGAGCGAATGCTGTTTCGTTTCTGTCGTTCTGCGGGTGCTGCTGGTCACCACCACCGTTGTCAGCGTATCGCGACCATTTATTTTCTCGCAATAATAATAACTTCTGATGCCGCTATACGGAAAGGACGATGCAATGGACAATAAGAGGGAATTATGGAAAATGATGAACTGCAGTATTACTGCTGTACTAGCTGTACTCGAGTAAACTCGAGTGCAGTCAGTACTGTACATATATACACAAGAGTGCAGTATACTCTACTGTATACGCGGCACGACTATATGTACGGCAATAACACGGAACTATTATAGAGCGGGGTGTATATATCCCGACGTCCATTATTGGCGAATGTGGCAGGTAATACGAGTTCTTCTTCTTCTTCTGCATGGTACAGTACTGTATAGTATTTGTCAAGCGAAGGACAGCTATATAGTATCCTTCTTGGACCGTTTCCCGTCTGAATAACACCGAACTATGCATATATATATATCCCTCGCGTGCCAATTCGTTTCTTTCGCACTGTACGTCCTGATGCGTTCATGCAAATGAATTCGAAAAGCAAAGCTTCTGTCAATTCTTTCGTTAACGTATATGCATATATCAGCAGTCTCCTCATCATCTAATTCTATATACTCGACTCATTTCCTGGAGCATCTCACTCATTCTTCATCCTTTCGCATACGCTGTTTATCCACATACATTTATAGGTACTGTATTATATACTGTATATGAATTGAGAAAAGTTGCGAGAATACGCAGCAGCAGCAGCAGCAGCAGTTGTTCTTTACATGTATACTGGTGATTGCAAGAGTTACCAGCAGGTGCAGCAGGCGCGTAAAAGCAGAAGACAGACAAACATACAAGCCATATCCATCCTCATATGCTGCTGCTCTGCTCTGCTCTGCTCTGCTCTGCTCTGCTCGCCAATACAGCACCAACACTATAAGGGAAAGATTAACTATACACAGCATCAGCTGCTGGTGACCTGTTGTATGTTGTTGTAAGCGGAGAAAGAAGCTGAGATATGGATGAAGAGCATTTTGCGCCCGGATTTGGAAACCCCCACATCAGCAGATGCTGCTGCATGATTATTCGCGCAAAGATCGACGGGTACGTAGGTAGTCGGAAGATCGGGCCCAAGTATTTTCGGGCCCGATTAGGCCGCGTCTTAATCCCCATCGTATTCCTGCCGGCGGGTCAACAGGTTAGCTGTGACCAGGCAGCTTAAGCCTTTTGTCATTTGGCAAAATTTGTGACTGCTTTCCATGAATTTTGGGATGAGAGAGAAATTTAAAACTCTCCAATTTTTTAAAATTGTTTTTCCTCTAAAAAGCATGAAGAGAATGATACCAAATAACCAAGTTTCAAGAATATTTTTATTTAAAAAAATAAGACCAGGAATTGGAACTTTGCTGCTCGCTGATTTTATCAGCGAAGCACTTCGACAGAAAAGTTATTTTGTGGAATTGCAAATATCTTGGAATGTAAGAGGCGGAGCAACATTTTATATGGAACACAATTTGTAGACAACTTCACAATCTAAATTTTAAGATGTTGCACAATTTTTTAATTAAACAATTGAGTGAGATATTTGCTTCGGTATTTTGTACTGGGAATTACGTAATGTAAAAAATTTCACCTTGGAATTTTTCCTGGTTTTCAGGACTTGTTTCATGTGGAAAAATCAGATGTGTCTTAGGGTTAACTAGCAGGTACCTTAGGGTTAACTATAGGTGAGGAAATTCTATTCTAGTGCTACAATCTTATCAAGTCAGAATTTTGTGTGAAATGAGCAGGCTGTGTTTTCTTTGGAAAAAGCATACATGGTTTTTATGAATTGTATTCCTTATGTGATGTGGCAGTGAAATGACATTTTCAGATGCTACAAATCATTGAGCTGAAGTTAAATTTTTTACTATTTGAAGGCTGTTTTCCATCAGTGAGCAGCAATTAAATGTTTAACCTTCAAGTCACATAAAAACAGTATTTATTTTTTCTCTTTTGTCCAGACAATCATAATGTACAGTGTCAAACAAATAAAAATAAAAGTATTCTTGAAACTAGGTTATTTGGTACCATTATCTTCATGTTTTTTAGAGGAAAAGCAATTTTAAAAAATTTGAGGGTTTTAAATTTCTCTCTTATTCCAAAATGCATGGAAAGCAGACACAAATTTTGTCAAATGACAAAATGCTTAAGCTGTCTGGTCACAGCTTACCTGTTGACCCGCCGGCGGGAATACAATGGGGATTAAGACGCAGCCTAATCGAACCCGAAAATACTTGGGCCCGATCTTCCGTAGACGATGAATGACATGAGCGAGCATACCCTGGCTCACGTAGAAGCATCCATAATTCTTTCACGTTCCAGGCTTTTGTTCCCAGCCGTGGACAAAAGGCCGAGAAACATCCGCGGATTAACCCAAAAAGTCGTCATCAACTATTACAAATGTTCCAGCTTTTGCTATCAGATTAAAGACACAAATCCTAATATTCTACAGCTGCTATTTTTTTCGAAATTTCTAAAGATTTAAATTTAAAGTGATGATCGAATTTCAAGGGTGCAGGCGTGCAGCAAACAAAATCATGTTGGGGAAGCAAAAATTTGCTTCGAAGAAAACGAAAAAATAATTGCAGGAAATTGCAATGGTGAGATTCTGGGCCTTGAATTGCTTCCTGAATGATTTGACTGGATGTTGAACTTGAGAGTCAAGGGTTTATTTGCCCAATTTGTCTTTAACTTCTTTTCAAAAAACATTCAGCTACATTTCATTTCTTATATATATCCTGTGTCAATAAAATAGCGAAGGCCTCCAGAAAATTCGAGTTATGGAGGTTTTTGAAGAATAAAAACCAAGGGAACTCAGACAAAGGCTTGAGAAAAATTCGATAAAGGGAGTTTCGGGTCATCGAGGTTCAAATGAAATAAATCTTCTTCATCCGAAAGCTTCGCTACTTCGCTTTAAGCTCTATGGAATTTTTCCGTCTACGTAAATGTCACTCGCAGCTGCTATAACATTTCAATTCCTCACTTCCGCGTCACATGCTCATTTGCTTCTGCGCGAAAGATGCTTCAGATAACTTATTCATGAGAAATTTTCACATATTTCCTGCCACCATCAAAATCTTCCAAGTGAATTCAGATGAAACGAGGGTTATTAAAAATGGGATTCACCTGTTTTCCAACATCTCCTTTACCGCATTTGCAGGTCGCTGGAGCACTTCACCGGCAGCGATTCTGTTCACCACGGCCTCGTCCAATTTTCGCACTATGCCAGGCCGACTGGCCATTATTATTCACTCACGAAACTTCGCACAGTACCAAACAACTTCTGTAAATGTGCACAAAAAAATTCAACTGAAAACCCCTCCAAGTTTTGAACGCGAGAAAGATAAATCTCGATCAGTTAGTCCTACCCTAATCCAAGGCGAAATACCGAAATAAAACATTTTCAAAAAATTGCCGATTGGCGAAAACCGCCACATTCGCTAGACCGAAAAATAAAAAAAAGAGAGCTTCACGTAATAAAAAGAAAAGTGAACGAATGATGAAAAGAAATCGCATAATCTTTGCGTCCAATATTTTTGATCCACCCGGGGAAACTTTTCGAATGTATGCATTCATCACCGTAGAAGTGAGAGTCTCTGACGTATTTCTGCACCGGATAAACGCCCCCGGGCTTTCACTGATTTCGGGGTTGGCAAACTCCGTTTCAACTCTTGCTTCTCCCACAACTCAATATCGTGTCGCGCTTGATCGAAATCCTTGTAAAACCTGACCAAGTTTTCAAACAAGGGCTTCACCATCTTCACGTCCGGTTTCTCCTCGCCAAAATATTCCAGCATATGCAGCAAAGTCTCAAAAACGGAGTCGTAAAAGCTTGACATGTCGGATAATGAGGACGATGCACGGGCGTGGAATGTTCGCACATTTTCCAAGCACCTATTCCGGGTTACACTGCCGGGTTCGTCGGGGGGATCGCGTCGATGGGTTATGGAAGTGTTGAGGGTTCGCAAACCCGGGCCACGGTTTCCGGATGAACCCACACTTCCGGCTCTACTTCGTCGCCCGAGTTTTTTGAGACGGCCAAAAACCGAGATACAATATATTAAAGGAGGGACAGAATATACCTCGTCTCGATTTTATTTCAACCTGGTTCAACATTTATAACTCTGATAAAATCACGTCCAACTCTAAATCCAAAAAAAGGGAAGCGCCTGTTTGACAGAACATAATTTGCCATCGCTTTTCGTAGGTGCACGTTTTTAGAAAAATTTCAAAGCCTAATTCTTGAACATTACATTCAATAAATTACAGTCATGTACTTACGTACAGTAATAAAACACATGAAATTTCTTAAGAGTTGGATAACAAAATTACATGAAAAGACAAATATAAAATTTTGAGCTCACAAGAGTTGCGGACATCGCTGGAGAGTTTCTAGGACGATTCCCCGAGTGTTGAGCATCCCTTCGACTCGCAGTTGGAAGCAATGCGATCCTTCTAGAAACCGGTTTCTGTGTTCGAACAGGGGTGATTGTCACATGGGACTGCAACGAAATCGTTCGCACAGTTGAAGCTTGAACATCAGATTCAATGATTACCAAAAAATGAAATAAAAGTGTGATCTTTCATCGTCTGGATCATTTCAGAAGAACATACTTGAGATTTTTAGCAGGAAGATCCTCCAAACAATTCTCAAGCTCATTTTTCACAGTATTCAACGAGTCGGATATGTCATTGAGCTGAAAAAATTTAATAAAAACGTTTCTCTCAAGATCGAGACATTAAAATAATGGCGCAGACACAGAATCTGATCTTTTGGCATCCGAGCAAAAAATAAGCACTGATCTTCCTATACTGCTCACACATGATAAAAAATGAAAATAAGAAGAAACTAAACAATCAGCCAGTTTTTGGTTATGATTCAAGTATTTTCATGACATTTATTTTTAATTTTAATGAATATAACTCAATTTATTCAAGAGATTTACAAATTTTGAAAAATTAAAATTGTCTATTTATTCGAGAAATGTTGGAAAAAATTTAAAATGTTGGGGCATTTTTTTTATCAACTTCAAGTCGAACCATCTGCATGTCGGGACTTCCGTACGTCAGGGCCCCACTGTACTCGTATTTAAATTCACTCTATATATACATCAAGAAATTTTACCCACGGAATCAACCAGGCGATGGTTATTGAAGAGAAGAAAAGTTAGCTTCTTGCTGGAGTAATTGGCATTCGTGACGTAGCCTTCCAATTTGAACTTCAGGTTGACATCCTCCACCTTGATCGCCACCACTTCTCTGTAAAAGAAACAGTAACATCAGGAATCCAGAAGACAAATAAAAAAAAAATCAACTTCAACCTTGAATGGGCAATAAGCTCATATATACGCTATATACCTGTACATGAAGTAAATAATCGCTAGCAAAAATACTTTACGCCTCATTTATTTCAACCAACGCGAATTTTCACTGCGGAGAAGCAACGTGCGAAAAAGAGAAAATTCCGAGAAAACAAAGCACCGGGAATTCCACCATTCGCCATAACAACAAAAAAGAGCCATTCGAATCTCCTTCATGAAAACTTGGTCAACATTTCTGAAAAAAATGGTTTCAAGACGAGTTCATAAAGGGTCGTGTCATTTCCAGGTCACAATCAATCTCATCCTGCGACTTGGCCCACTCGTAAAACACGTTAAGCGCATTCCTCACAGCATCGTCCATGTCAAAGTATTTGTAGGACGCCAATCGTCCCACAAAAACCACCCCAGACTCATTGTCCGCCATGGCCCGGTACTTTTCATACAATTCCCTGTTCCTGGGATTCGGTACCGGGTAATAGGGCTCACCCTGGTCTGAAGACGTTTCGTGATACATGACACTCGTTTTCGGAATAAACCTGTCGCTATCGTACTCCTGGTTCGGCAAGTGAACGTACTCAATTGTACGAGTGTACGGGATCTTCAGGTGCGGGTAATTCACTTGCGACACCGGCTGGTAGAACCCGGATTTCTCAGTCACATTGTGTTCTTCTCGAGTGAAGGTGAGTGTGCGGTATTCCAACTTGTCCAACCCTGGGATCAGCGTTCAAAATATCGTTCAAATTCTTGTAAATGTGTTTTCAGAAATACAACGAACACGACACTTTTCATGGCTCTTTTTAAATGAATTTTTCCCGCAATCAAACAGAGGTGCACAACCCAAAACATGAGATGAATTTTGCTTTCAAAATGCAGCGTATCAATTTCGGTTACTTTCAATTTCGAAATTTAGAACATTCCCTACTTTAACCTGTTCGCAAATTTCTCCTCCTATACATAAAAATGCACTGAAAATGAATGAATAAGAATTCAGTGACGAAATTCGATCAAAACTAGGCATAAGGTGAGGAAAAATCAGGTTCTCTGTCGAATTAAAACAATCATCGTGAAATCAGGACTAGTATTAAAAAAAATTTTCCCTAACACAGTAAATCTTGTTACAACAAATTTTTTAGTTGTGAAACAAACTTTTTTTCAAGTCCCAATAGAAAGTCCATTGAGTACATGTTAAAACAATCTTGTTATAAAAAACGTCCCAATTCCAGTATACCAAACTTTTTAGAGGAATGGTTGATAGTTTTTCCAGGGAGAAATTTCCTGACTATGACAGGCAATCCCACACATCAATCTCCCAAAATTAAGAAATTGGTGCAACAGATGGAATGCATGAATTTAATTTTTTTATCAGAGGATCGCTCAGTTTTTCAAACGAACAAAAATAAAAATTCTGATAATTCCAGAAAACGCAAAATCTAATCGATTATAGGCAAGTCTGATGTGAAAATTTTCTCGAATTATATTAATTTGGAAAATCTCATAAGAATTATTCAGTATAAAGAATTTCTGCTGTCTTCAGAAGTTTGTGGTGACGAAATTTTACTTCATTATCTAAAAATTAGTCATACATCCATTAGGTCACGCGGGAAAAAAAAAATACAATTGGGGCGATTGATTCAGCAAACCTTGGTCAGAGAAATAAAAGTCGATCGGCCCAGTGTAAAACGTGAAGTCCGGACTGCCGAATCCTTCGAAACCTTGCCTAAAATCAAAGTAGTCCACATTCAACCGCACATCAACCTTAGGATGCTTCAACATGTTCCTAAAGATCTCAGTGTAGCCCCTCGAGGGCAAGGCCTGATGCTGATCAGTAAAATACCGATCATCGTCGTCAGTTCGCACAGGGATCCGTTCCAACACACTGGCGTCCAGTTGCTCGGGATACTTGTTCCACTGCTTCCACGTGTAGCCCTCGAAAAGCAACTTGTACAACTCGGACCCAACCCGGGCCTCGGCAGCTTCCTTGCCATTCTTGGGCTTGCCAGACGCGGGTTTCACTTGCACACCGCTCAGCCACTTTTTCATTGCGCCTTCAGACTTGATGCCGAGTTTGTAGAGGTCGTTGACAGTGTGTATGTTCACCGGGACGGAAACGAACTTGCCAGTCTCCAGTTTGGCCAAGGCCCGGTGTTCATACGGCACCCAGTCCGTGAATTGACTCAGATACCTTGAATCAAGGGATTTTGGTTTTCTAAGAAATATGCTCAACATGTTCTTTGATATTGACAGGTTCNGGCTTAGGTACTTTAGGTAGGAGTTAGGTACTGTACTAGGTTAGGTTGGGGTGCCAAAGTAGCTTAGCTAAGTATTTAGCATTGGGTTAGAAAAGCTTAAAAATGTACTTCAAATCCCTTGAAATTTGGAAATTAATTACAAATCAGTTGCAGATCATCATCAGTTCAATTTTTTCCAGGGTCAGTCATTTAATAAACAAACACAACACCGCAGTGGCGTAGAGTATTTTGCAGCCATGATGGGTCACGTAAAATAAGGTGCTCCTTTTTTCATGCAAGTACTATATGAGTAGCAGTACTTATCGTATGTTTGCTCACCTCCAGACCGCGTCGTCGACAGTATGAAAAATGTGAACCCCATACTGATGCACTCGGATCCCAGTTTTAGCATCAATGTAATCGTGGCAATTCCCGCCAATATGGTCCCGCTTCTCGACAATCGTAACGCGGACATTTTTGCACGTTGACGTGAGCCTTTCGGCCATGATGGATCCACTCAGCCCGGCTCCAACAACTAGGACCCGGGTTTCACGCGGGTTCCGCATGAGCCGAAAGATGTTCCAAAAGCCAAAAAGTGCGACGGCAAATCCGGCAGCAATCACCAGTCGAGGGAATGGGATCATCGGCATCTTTTTGCCAACCGAACGCATCTCGGCTTTATTTTTTTTTTCGGCGCAAAAATTGACGACGAGAGTTAAATTACCATTTGACGCAGGATCTGTAGAACACTGTTCGCACTTTTGATTTTTCTCGAGTTGAAAGCGTTGCAGGTGACGAGTGAGATTTGCAAGACCAACTCAGGGAAAGAAAAGCGAGTTTCCGGCTTACAGCCGAAAAAGAAAATTGCAAATCACGACAAAAAAAATATGCGGGTCTGCTCCGCAAAAAAAAAAAAAAAGATGCCTCTTGTGGCGAAGCAGTTTTGGAAGATTTTACCGCCGATTCATGCTTGCAATACGAGGAATGTTTCGAAAATTTTCTCAATACCCTGAAATTGAAGTTTCTTTTCAGTGTACGAGAGTTTCTTTGTCAGACCCCTCCGATGTGGGATGAATAACGGAGTTTTGCAGCAGAGAGGCTCCGGATTTTTTAAACATTTTCATCGACTGCATCCGTGACTCTTGATAACGTCTCGTTATACAATCGATATTTCACAGCAAATATTAAATTGAACCTCTTCAAAGAGAATTGCGAAGATTCGAAAACGTAGTAACAAACGTAAACTTGGTTTTGACACCCAAGAAATCGTTATAGACAGTGCTGTACTTCGATTTTTCAATCACAAAAAGGTTGGTGGCACTTACATTGGTTAAAATTTCAAATATCGGCATGAACAAAAAGTATTTCTGAGTCGAAGTGATTCAAATCTCCCTTTACATCAAGGACAATGAAATCATTCCAAATTTATGAACAACCCTCGTACATCACATTGCGGATGACAAGGCATTTTCAGCAAGAAAAAGAAAAGATAAATGAAAAAAAATCTATCTGAACTTACTTCGATATCGCTGATCCATAGATGGTTCTAAGGTTGTCAAGGACTGTCGAATTCGGCGGGGTTCTGACATCTGCTTTCGCTTCCCCAATCTTCTTGACGCAGAATGTTACTCAAAGCGCTGCGACGCGTCGACACATTGTAAAACAAGTCTTCGACGTTTATCAAGGTTCCTACTGTTCCTGCGCAGGGTTGAGGCGGTTCTTTCAATTCTCCATCTGAATACGATGCTCTGTGAAAAAAGTATGATTCCAGAGCAAAATTTTCTCGAAAATTTGATTTTTTTTATATTACCTGTAAGCGCACTTGTCGTCAACAGTCCTCGTAGTGATCGTGACATGGGCAACATGTGTGATACTGGCCAGCGCTTCTCCACGGAATCCGTATGTGGCAATTGAACTCAGGTCAGAGAACTCCTTCAATTTGCTCGTCGTGAAACGGTGGCAAACAATGGGCAAGTCTTCCCGTCGAATCCCGCTGCCATTGTCCTGAATTTGCAACACCTTCAGACCACCGTTTTTCACAGACACTTGAATCGACGTCGCACCAGCGTCCAAACTACAAAAAAATCGAAAAGAAAGAATGTTTTCAGTCTTTAAATACATTTTTAGATGATGAATGACGACCGAGGTATGGGATAGTATAAACGTCACAGAGGTCGAGTAGGTATATGAAGGACCCCGTCGGTGGGCACAAAAAAGGAAAGAAAAATAATGAGATCCCGGTCAATGAACCCCGGCTCACGTAGAAGCATCCATAATTCTTTCACGTTCCAGGCATTTGTTCCCAGCCATGGACAAAAGGCCGAGAAACATCCGCGGATTAACCCAAAATGTCGTCATCAACTTTTACAAATTTTCCAGCTTTTGCTATCAGTTTAAAGACACAAATCCTAATATTCTAGAGCTGCTATTTTTTTCGGAATTTCTATAGATTTGAATTTAAAGTGATGATCGAATTTCAAGGGTGCAGCAAACAAAATCATGTCGGGGAAGCAAAAATTTGCTTCGGAGAAAACGAAAAAAAAAAATTGCAGGAAATTGCAATGGTGAGATTCTGGGCCTTAAATTGCTTCCAGAATGAGTTGACTGGATGTTGAACTTGAGAGTCAAGGGTTCATTTGCCCGATTAGTCATTAACTTCTTTTCAAAAAACATTCAGCTACATTTCATTTCTTATATATATCCTGTGTCAATAAAATAGCGAAGGCCTCCAGAAAATTCGAGTTATGGAGGTTTTTGAACAATAAAAATCAAGGGAATTCAGACAAAGGCTTGGGAAAAATTCGATAAAGGGAGATTCGGGTCAACGAGGTTCCAATGAAATAAATCTTCTTCATCCGTAAGCTTCTCTACTTCGCTTCAAGCTCTATGGAATTTTTTCCGTCCACGTAGATGTCACTGGCAGCTGCTATAACATTTCAATTTCTTACTTCCGCGTCAGCACATGCTCATCTGCTTCTGCGCGAAAGATGCTTCATATAACTTATTCATGAGAAATTTTCAGAGATTTCCTGCCACCATCAAAATCTTGCATGTGAATTCGGATGAAACGAAGGTTATTAAAAATGGGACTCACCTGTTTTCCAACATCTCCTTAACCGCATTTGCAGGTCGCTGGAGCACTTCACCGGCAGCGATCCTGTTCACCACGGCCTCGTCCAATTTTCGCACTATGCCAGGCCGACTGGCCATTATTATTCACGCACGAAACTTCGCACAGTTACAAATAACTTCTGTAAATGTGCACAACAAAATTCAACTGAAAATCCGTCAAAGTTTTGCACGCAAGAAAGATAAATCTCGACCAGTTAGTCCTACCCTAGTCCAAGGCGAGATCTCGAAATAAAATTCTTGCAAACAAATTGACGATTGGCGAAAACCGCAACATTCGCTAGACCAAAAACGAAAAAAAAAGAGAGCTTCACGTAAGAAAAAGAAAAGTGAACGGAGGATGAAAAGAAATCGCATAATCTTCGCGTCCAATATTTTTGCTCCACCCGGGGAAACTTTTCGAATATATGAATTCATCACCGTAGAAGTGAGAGTCTCTGACGTATTTCTGCACAGGATAAACGCCCCCGGGCTTTAACTGATTTCGGGGTTGGCAAACTCCGTTTCAACTCTTGTTTCTCCCACAACTCAATACCGTGTCGGGCTTGATCGAAATCCTTGTAAAACCTGACCAAGTTTTCAAACAAGGGCTTCACCATCTTCACGTCCGGTTTCTCCTCGCCAAAATATTCGAGCATATGCAGCAAAGTCTCAAAAACGGAGTCGTAAAAGCTTGACATGTCGGATAAAGCGGACGATGCGCGGGCGTGGAATGTTCGCACATTTTCCAAGCACCTATTTCGGGTTACACTTCCGGGTTCGTCGGGGGGATCGCGTCGAGGGGTTATGGAAGTGTTGAGGGTTCGCAAACCCGGGCCTCGGTCTCCGGATGAACCCACGCTTCCGGCTCTGCTTCGTCACCCGAGTTTTTTGAGACGGCCAAAAACCGAGATACAATATATTAAACCAGGGACAGGATATGCCTCGTCTCGATTTTATTTCAACCTGGTTCAACAGTTAAAACTCTGATGAAATCACGTCCAACTCTAAATCCAAAAAAAGGAAAGCGCCTGTTTGACAGAACATAATTTGCCATCGCTTTTCGTAGGTGCACGTTTTTAGAAAAATTTCATAGCCTAATTCTTGAACATTACATTTAATAAATTACAGTCATGTACTTACGTACAGTAATAGAACACATGAAATTTCCTAAGAGTTGGATAACAAAATTACATGAAAGACAAATATAAGATTTTGAGCTCACAGGAGATGCGGACATCGCTGGAGAGTTTCTAGGACGATTCCCTGAGTATTGAGTATCCCTTCGACTCGCAGTTGGAAGCAATGCGATCCTACTAGAAACCAGTTTCTGTGTTCGAACAGGGGTAATTTTCACAGGGGACTGCAGCGAAATCGTTTGCACAGTTGAAGCTTGAACATCAGATTCACTGATGACCAAAAAATGAAATAAAAATGCGATCCTTCATCGTCTGGATCATTTCAGAAGAACATACTTGAGATTTTTAGCAGGAAGATCCTCCAAACAATTCTCAAGCTCATTTTTCACAGTATTCAACGAGTCGGATATGTCATTGAGCTGAAAAAATTT